AGTAGAAAATACAAGATCATTAGAAAATGGATTTGACACACACTAATTAAATAAAAAGCCTTTATGCATGAAATAATTTGAGTTTAGATTAAAATGCACTCAGGGTTGCTGACTCTCAAATTCCTTTGTAGAAAATTCCAGAGCTATGGGGTTTAGCAGGAGAAGGCCGTGTCACCCAATGAATAAACAAACTTGGGTGAGACCAAAGTCAGGAGAACAAAGGTTGCAAATTAGGGAGTAGATAGATAATAAGTCAGATAATTACTGATGCGCCAAGCCATGTAGAGCCTTATAGACAAGCATGAAGATTTTGAAGTCCGCTTGATAGCTGATAGGAAGCCAGTGTGAGGACTCCAAGATGAGAATAATGTAATGTCATCAGGATTCTGAGTTCAGGCTACTGAATTCCAGACGTATTTGTGTTCAGTGTAGATTTCGAGTGAGTAGAGCATTACAATCAATTCTAGAAAAGACAAATGTTTTGACCAGATTTTATGCTACAGAGACAACAGTTGACATAGTCTGGTAAGATGAAAGAACAATGTATTTTACAGAATTCTCTACATGAATCAAAAGTCAAGCCAGGATGAAATATAACCCCTAAATTCTTCAAATGTGATTGAAATTCAAGCACAGTGCCACCCACTGATGGGGTTACTATATTGACTTTACATAAATGATGGGAGGTTCTAAGTAGCATGATTTCAGTATTGTCTCAGTTTGGGAAGGAAAGTGTTTTGAGTCATCCAAGTTTTTATGCCAGAGATGCAATTAGAGAGCTCAGAGACAGCCACTTCAGTGTCAGGTTTAGTATGGACGTAGATTTGGGTATAATCAGCATAGAAATGTTCTTATGTAGCAACATCATTAAAAACATTCCCAGTCACATACTGTATAATCATTTATGGAGTCTGTAACTCAAAACGACTTACTGTTGCGAAATATAGCTATGCAGCAGATGAACACACTCAGCTTGTACTGTTCTGGAATGTGTTATCTGTTGCTCGTGGATGTGATTTTTTTCCTGTGAAATTACTCTAATTATGGCCAGCAAATGCAAATCTGACATTGTGCCAAGTGCTATAAATGATACGAAAGCAAATTTTATGACCACAGCATGATCTTATCAGATATTGGATGGGAAGCTAGGCAAATCTGGGTCTGGTCTGTACTGGGAATGGGAGACCATGAAAAAACAGGTTGCTGCTATAATTTATTTTAATAAGTAGGCGGCATTCTTCCCACTGGAGGAGTCAATGCCCCCCATTACAGTGACTTTGGTCACTATGGTGTAAGGGGAGCTATCCTTCAGATGAGACATTAAACTGATGTCTTGACTGTTTAATCATTAAAGATCCCATGATACTCTTTATAAGAGTAGTGTTAACCCTACTGTGTTAATCTTTCTGGTCTGTAGGTAATGGCACCCTGAACAAACATGCTGGTATTGACTATAAGCAGCTGACCCTGACAGCCAAGCTCAATGAGAACCACTCTGGGGAGGTGAGTTGGCAAGGTCACCAGTCCTGTTCCATTCTTTATTTATGCCTTGCATTAGGATAGGAATTTATGATTTGAAAACATTTTGAAGAGGGCATTACAGCGGATGCCTGAAGCTAATAGGTTTATAGCAGTTAAAGCTAAATATTCTTGTTGCTCTGAGAAGAAGTTTGATCTTCACAGCTTGTTACAAATTACCAAAACACACAATGAAATGAATTGGTACAAATTTGTAGCTAACAATACATAAGAATTGTGTGTCACTCACTGCACCAGCAGGACATTTTTAATTACATATTAATTGGGCTTATCTCTTGGCAGGCGTAGGAACATCATCCATCATTTTTTGATGAACACTCTGTAGGTGAAGAGCAGTTTTAATTTACTGTAACAATCAGAAGAGTACTTGATGACTTTTAAGAATTAATCAAACATAATTTACGGTTTCACACACAGATTCTAAACATGCAATATACAGTTTAATGATGTAACATGCATAAAAAACAACAAATGTAATTGAATATGTTTATAAAATGATCTGCTGTAATATGAATAGCTGATTTTTCACTCAGGGATTACAAAGATCAGAGTTAACATGTGTTGACTATTACATGTTACAGTCTAGCCCATAGGTTCAAGTAGGTAGCTGCATCAGCATGTGTAGGCTGTAAGAACAAATAAGTTTATTTCATGCTGAAAAGAAACACAATATTTCAGCTATGGAATCTTCTTGGAACGTTGTGGGAAGACGTCCTTGAAGAGTTAAAACTTCCCTCTGATAAAACGGGTGGATTGGTCAGTATTCCAGCTCGGCAGCAGCTCTGTGCTGGGAGGGTCCCCATGCAGATAGAAGAGAGAGAATTTTGCCTTGATTTGCTTAGAAGTTTGCATTGAATCAGGCAGCATTGCCAAAGTAGCATCTCTCAGACTTTAAAACAGTCTGTACAGTTTATCTTCTTGGGGTCCAGCCATAAGGTAGACAAGGGGAACTCTTTTAAACCCCGGCATTAGCTTTGTTCAGAATATACTTGATTATGGGGCCAACAGGGGGCGCTCACCCTGTGGTCCATGTGGGTCCTAATGCCCCAGTATAGTGGTGGGGACACTATACTGTGAACTGGCGCCGTCCTTCGGATGAGACGTAAAACCGAGGTCCTGACTAAAAATCCCAGGGCGTTTCTCGAAAAGAGTAGGGGTGTAACCCTGGCATCCTGGCCAAATTTCCCATTGGCACTTACCAGTCATGGCCTCCTAATAATCCTTATCTATGAATTGGTTTCATTACTCTGCTCTCCTCCCCACTGATCGCTGATGTGTGGTGAGCGTTCTGGCGCACTATGGCTGCCGTCGCATCAGTCAGGTGGATGCTGCACATTGGTGGTGGTGGAGGGGAGTCCCCATTACCTGTAAAGCGGTTTGAGTGGAGTGTCCAGAAAAGCGCTATATAAGTGTAAATTATTTTTAGAATTATTATTATTATAGATTTTCAGCAATAGAGTCCAACTGTAGAATTTCGGTGATCAGGTAAAAATAACAGTGAACACGAGATTTCTTATATTTCAGAAATAATATCTCGGCCAGAATTCTGTACTATCTGTCTCACTCTCTCGCCCTAAAGAAAAATAAAGTCCTGACTCGGACTACTTGCAGTCATGTGGTTGGGAAAAGTCAGACAGCTGGTTAAATTGGAGATATTAGAAACCATTAGGTTAACCAGCAAAACAATGTTCTTGCTTTTAAGGTATGACATCACATTATGGCTGATATGCTGTCAGGTTTGGTTCTAGTACCCACCCTACAGATCTCTCATTGTTGGATCTTCCTCTGGGTAATTGACCATGCCCTGTGAGTTTAAGATCGTGGCCAAATGAGCCTATTGACTGGCTGGAACCCATCTGCACTGTATATCATTGCACTGTTCGGCTTTGGCGCAGCTTTACCATGTCTCTCACCAGAGGTGCCTCTAGGCTACATTCCTCTGCATTTAGAGAGGGGCCCATGCACACGTGTCAGTGCACACAAAAACTCTTAAATCTTTAATAACAATTAATTAAAAGTAAAATAACAGGCCTTATCCCTACAATAAGACATTTGAGCATGCTAAAATGATGTTAACTAGGGCAAGCGGATGCAGTATGGGTGTGATTTTGTGTCCGTTGCGATGTTCAAGAGCGCTAGCAATGCATATGACCTCTTTCTGCAGCTGTGGCAGGGCCGTTGGCAGGGCAATGAGATTGTCGTGAAGGTGCTCAAAGTCCGTGACTGGACCACACGCAAAAGTCGGGACTTCAACGAAGAGTATCCCAAGCTCAGGTAATTTTGCAGCCTCATTGTGGTCAGTGCCAGGTCCCATCCCAAGAAGCACATGTACAGGTAGATCCCCTGTCCCTCTGTCTCTTTATTCCTGTAGCAGGTCCTCTCGGCTGCTACCCTCACGTGTAGTGTACCCTCAAGTGTCCACAAGCATAATATGGCAAAGACACTTTCTATTTCCTCTCGGCCTCTGGACATGCTAGATATGACACGTTTATACCCCAAATAAAATAAAGGAGCTACCAGTCCCCCTGTTTAGAGCAAACTGGGAGCTAATTATTTTGTAAATGTTTCACAAAGACTTATCTTAATATCTGTTACAGTGACACAATCTGCAATTGGGCAGAGTCTGAACTGCTAATGTTTAGCAAGAGGATGTGAGCTGTACAAGTATTGCACAGAAGATAATTTTTTTTTTATCAGGCTGTTAACACAGGGGTTGTGCCAGAGAAAAGCTAATAGCATGGGCTATCTCCATCTGACTATTGTGAAAGGCTTGCAGTGGCATTTGACACACACATACAGCTCAAGATAAATGTAAACTAAATCATGTTTGAAAAATGATTAAATTTAAGTCTCACAGAAGCCTCCCCTCCTGCCCTCTGTTCTGTACTTTTGTGTCCCCTCTCCATCCTGTCCTGTGTCCAGGATATTTTCCCACCCAAATGTCCTGCCCATGCTGGGAGCCTGCCAGTCCCCACCTGCCCCCCACCCTATCATAATCACGCACTGGATGCCATATGGCTCTCTGTACAACGTGCTGCATGAAGGGACAAGTAAGTACAGTTTTTAGCTCCACAGAGAAACCTTCAGACTTGCCAGATTGCAAGAGGTTGCAATTTCCAGAGGTTTTCTCTGCTCCTAAATTATATTGCTTAAAAAATCTTGCATTTTACCTCAACTGAAAATATATAGCATCCTCTTCTTACTTGAATCCATGTTCAGCATGTAATTGGACACCATTCATTACAAGAGAAATGTAAAATAAAACCATACTATAGACTCTTTGATCTTCTTATCTATCCTGCTCTCTCCATCCCTCCCATAGCCTTTGTGGTTGACCAAACCCAGGCAGTGAAGTTTGCGCTTGATATTGCCTGTGGGATGGCCTTCCTGCACACATTGGAGCCCATGATCCCCCGGCATTATCTTAACAGCAAGAGCATAATGGTGAGTAAATCCCTATTCTCTGCACTGACCCACTCACTCTCTTTTCACTGACCCACACCCTTTTTATTATTTTATTAAAGTTATTATGGGGAAGTACAAGTAGTGCTGCAGAAAGTTCAAGTCTTTGCCTGTGTTGCCCAGTTCCTATGACCAAGCTGTGGTCACTGGATCCGTACTTTGTGAGAGTTAGTTTCTACATGTTTTGATTAAGTATGTGTGTCCCATGGGTAAGGTGGTGTTTGAGTTGATTGCGATGTGGTTAACTCTGATTTGTGCCATTGTAGAACTGATTTTCTGATATTGGTTTCTGTTGCTGTGCCTAAGGACAGTGAGCCTCAGAATCATTTAGCTGGTGGGGGGCTCTTGTGTCATCAGGGCCTTCACGTGGTAGGAATTCTAGTAACCCTTTTTATCTGTAGCCACTATTTTTACTTTTCTCTATTGTATATTGATTAGAAGTATACGTGTTGGTCTACTTCAGTCATGAATACATTTTGTGTTTTCACTGCACTGTGCATACAGGGCTTTTATAAGGGGTTTGTCTCATTTTGTGAAATCCTGGTCTGTGATTTGACCCCACACTTCTTGTGCAATGAATTAGATTGTTTTTAGAGCCAGATAATTTTGGAGGGAAATTACAGAGCCTCCTTCATATGGCGTAAAAAGCCTTACATGTTTTCTCCTATAGTGCCTTCACTGCCAGATCAAAACCACCTCTTTCTGTGCTCACTTAGTTATTTCTTTAAACATGCTGTTTGAGACAATTGGAGTTTATTTTATTTTGACAGATTGACGAGGACATGACAGCGCGGATCAGTATGGCAGATGTCAAGTTTTCATTCCAGTGCCCTGGGAGGATGTACTCTCCAGCCTGGGTTGCGCCAGAGGGTAAACCCATTTGCTAACTTAAGAAGGACACATAACATCCTTCACGTCTGCAATCACAGTCCAAGCCAAAATTTTGAGTGCATACATAGGACAGTTATCCAAAGTAGTCTGTACACTGCACAGGTTCTTCAAAACTTGTGAGAAAGAGAGTTAAGGAGCTTTCTCATTCCAGAAGTTTTTTTTTAGATATTAAAACTACCTTGAAAATATTAACAAGCTATGACTAAACATTTAATCATCAATCATACTTTGATCGTAGATCTATATTACTATTAACTAGTAAACTTAAACATTTTCAATTTCAATTCAAGCTTTATTGTCCCCTAGGGGAATTTTTTTTTTACGGCACAGTCAAACGCAACACAACAGACAGATACACATCATGAAAAGGGAAGAGAATACAGAAGTGTTACAGGAGAAAAGAAACAAGAGACAAAGTTGTTACTGTACTTTGCATTGTTTAAGAGTGTAATTGCAGTGGGAATGAGAGATTTCCTGAGTCTGTTGGTTTTACATCTGGGGTCACAGAGGCATCTCCTCTGTGGTGGATGCTGCACATTAGTGGTGGTGGAGGGGAGTCCCCATTACCTGTAAAGCGCTTTGAGTGGAGTGTCCAGAAAAGCGCTATATAAGTGTAAGCAATTATTATAATTATTATAATTATTATTATTATCTCCCAATTGGGAGAACTGTGAATTCACAATGGAGAGGGTGAGACACACACTCCCTGGTGCTGATGGCTTTCTTAGTCACCCTCTGTTTGTAAAGGATGCTTAAGTTGATTTGATTATTCCCGATTATTTTGCCACTTATATTTACTAATTTACCCAGCCTGTTACAATTAGCGGTACTTATGTTGCCAAACCAACAAGTTAAGCAGTATGTTAAGACACTTTCAATGAATGGTGTGTAGAAAAATGTAAGGATAGTTTTATCTACCTTAAAATTGGCCTTTTTTATAGATGTCACAACATGTGTCCCATTTTGGGTTTTTGTCAATGACCAGTCCCAAGTACTTATAGTCATTGACAATTTCAACAAGCTGACCAATTGTAGTGGGTTGAGGGGGTGTGGTATTTTTCCTAAAATCCTTAACCAGTTCCTTTGTTTTTGAAACATTTAACTTTAGGGAGAACTCGTTGCACACGTTGGTAAAATCATTTAGAATGGGCCCATGATGGTATTCTGTGTCCTTTAATAAACTGACCAGGGCTGTGTCAAAACTTAATGAGATGTCTATCTTTGTGTTTGCTTATGCAATCATTGGTGTACAAAATGTACAGCAGAGGGGACAAGACACAGCCCTGTGGTGTTCCAATTGATGTGTAGCGAATGTCAGATAAGCACTTCCCCAATTTGACCTGTTGAGACCTGTTAGTTAGGAAGTCTTAGGTGGCTTTGTGGGTGGAGTGGTGGCTCTGTGGCTAAGGATCTGCGCCTGTGACTGGAAGGTTGCCAGTTCAAATCCCGCGGCCGGCAGAGGAATCCTACTCCGTCCTGAGCAAGGGCCTTAACCCTAACTGCTCCAGGGGCGCCGTACAATGGCAGACCCTGCGCTCTGACCCCAAGCTTCTCTCCCTGTCTGTGTGTCTGTGTCTCCATGGAGAAAAGCTGGGGTATGCGAAAAGATGAATTCCTAATGCAAGATATTGTATAGGGCTAATAAAGAAACATTCCATTAACATTACAAATGTTATTTATTGTTTGTATGTTTTCCTTTAGGGTAGGCAACTTAAAACCTCTACTAGAAGTCAGCTCTGGTATCAGGATTAATGTATTGGTCTTGTACTGTTTCTTACCCTGGTTGCCTTTCCCTACAGCCTTGCAGAAAAAGCCAGAGGAGATAAACCGCCGGTCAGCTGACATGTGGAGCTTTGCAGTGCTGCTGTGGGAGCTAGTCACTCGAGAAGTGCCCTTTGCTGACCTCTCCAACATGGAGATTGGCATGAAAGTAGGTTGACAGAGCTGTATTGCAAAAGGTTATCATAGCCCTCAATTATTTTGTGAGCAGTGTACATGTTTCATCTGCTGCATTTAACCCTCTGAATGTTTCCTTGGCACCAGTTAGTCCTCTGCATCAACTTCCATCGGCACATTGACACTTCACAGCACGTGCTCCAGCATATCTAATGCTAGAAGCAATGCTTCTTTGCACATGGGAGAGTACTGCCTGTTAGTAGCTGTGGGTGTCTATTACTTGTCTGTGTTGAAATGTCTGCCTGAGTCACTTTCTCACTCTTGGACTTTGTGCTGCCAGGTGGCCCTGGAAGGCTTGAGGCCCACGATCCCCCCAGGCATCTCGCCTCACATCTGCAAGCTGATGAAGATTTGCATGAATGAGGACCCTGCCAAGAGGCCCAAATTTGACATGATTGTCCCCATCCTGGAGAAGATGCAGGAGAAGTGACCTACCCCATCCTAGTAGTGCAAACCTGTATTGCCTTAACTCTCACTACTGCTGTTCTCAATGTCACCATAACCTAGCTTGAGCCAGCAGCACCCCTATACCTCTACTGTTCTTGAGGAAAGGATTATTTTATTTACCCCCTGTGCTCTGCGAACCCACTTAAGAAACAGAATGTAAAGCTTTAGTTCCTCCCCTCTAATATCTCCTGTTTGATTGGAGGAGCCATGGGCCCATGTGTCACAGGTATGTCCAGCACATAGTGCCAGTTGGATGGTTTCCTCTGCAGAAAATGAAGACTGAAATTTAAGCACAGTGTACAGCTCATCAATACTGTCTGAAGCCCAGTTTGAGGAAAGGGATAGAGAGGCCAAGCTGAGCTGAGTTCATCAATGCTCCCACCATAGTAGCCTGTTCGCTTCATATTTCAATGTGGACTTCAGACTTCATTTAATTTCCAATTTTAAGATTTCTTTTTAATAAATTCCACTGATCATAATAGCATGCAGCCCTTTTTTTGTAATAGCCACAATAACACTGTCTACAGAAGTTTGGAGTTTTTCCTGGGCATTCTAAATGGCTTCTTTTAATTCCACATCTCCTTAGGGAATAGCACTGAATCTTTACCTTGCTTATTTATAAAGGGTGCAGATGGTGAGCACAGAAACCGAGTGGCAGAAACATCTATGATGTCCACTAATTTTCCAGTCACAGGAAACCTAGAGCACCGTCAAACAGAAGTTTTCAGATGTACTTCCTTTTTCATTTTAGTCACTGTGGCTATTTCCTCCTTTGGACAATACTATTTTCTAACCAGGATTGTTTAAAGCATGGACAGTCTACAAAGGCTGTTCTACCCAGAATTATATCATCTTAGTTACTGAGTTTGGTAGGGAGTTTCCTTGGAAACAGGGTTTTCCTTGTCTTTTTTTGCTTTTATTTACAGGAATAAAGATTAACAGGAACAAAAACGAGTGGGGGGTGGGTTGTTGACGAGTTGTCTACCATCCAGCCGACCTGATGCCAGCTCCGTGCATTTCTGCTGTGGTGCTCAGTTTTGGTTCTGTCGAAGCAGATCTTCTCTCTCTAGCATATTTTCACATCACCAGCTATCCTCCCCTCCCCCCCAGCTTGCTTGTCTGTGTTTACACACGGGGGAAAAAGTAAACAAAGCATGTCTTATACAAATGTATGTAATTTATATATATATATTAAAAACTTTGTGATTTCCATTGTAAACTGGAGGCCATGTTTTTTATGAGACTCTGCTGTATCTATTTAATTATACTCTGCAGTATCTAATTATATGAGCACACAACGTTTTCTTGTAGTGTTCTTTCACACTGCCACTTGATTCCCTCTTATTCTTTTGTTTGTTTTATTAAAATATGATTTCACGGTTTGGCATGTTTTTCCTGGTTTTCTGTTAAACAAAGGAGCTAGGTCTGACAGGATGTCTAATGGGAGTATTGTTTTATTTCTTAACATTGGAATATTTAACAGTACTTTTTTGGTGTACTTGAAGATATGAAGTGAATTGGTGTTTTTTTTTAAAGGTCTTTTTAAAGATGCTATTTAATTGATCCATTAAAGATAGTAACCAAATGCTGTATCCTAAGAGCACTGAATAAAGTTGGAATAAAAGAGCAAGAGTTGAAATAAAAATCTTCAGATAGTAGCCAGAGCAAAGGCTCTAGAGCAAAGGCTGGACATCCTTGTTTTATGACAAATATTTACATAGAATACTAGAGACCAAATAGTGCCCCAAGAAAGTTTTCTTAGTGATACTTCCATCATGTCTGTGTTTGTGTCAGCTTTTGCCTTGTGGAATGTATATAATTGGTCATTTTCATACCCATTTAGAGCCATTTTGTGGCTGAAATGGACAAATAATATCTGGCAGGTAAGCTTAATTGGTTTGGCTAGCAGGAGGAATTTTAGGTTGCAGGAAGCTCCTATTATAATTATTTACACATTGATTAATCAATTCTGTCCTTTTCCGTTATTCACCATTTTCATAACTACCTATCTGTGACAGTATCAAGCTTATATTTGTTATGTTATAATGTTTATTAATATAAAAGCAAGTGTGGCCAAACCTGTATACAGTATGTGCCAAAGGCTTACAGAATGGGTATTTTAAATCACTCCATAAGTACTTTAGAAATGCAATAGTGAGACATTTTGAGGACAGTAGTTGATACCTATTTTATAACTAAGAACTGCCTTCTCTGAAAATGTAGTTTTAACTCTCTGAACCTTCTATCTGATGATTTTTTAGGTATTGTTAATCACTTCTTCTCTTATTTTTACAGATGTTCCTTACCACACAACATGGGAATGAGTTGTGAAAAGCATTGCATCATAATTAGTTTAAAATAAATAATACTGCATTGTATAACACGTAGATAGATACTTTATTGATCCCGTGAGGGAAATTGCAGTGCAACAGCAGCTTAACACAGACAACACAGCCACAGTGTAACAAATTATACAATGATAATAATACAATACATACAGTACAATCAGTACAGTGAGGATTTATTGCACTAAAAGAGTTACTCACAGTACAGGACACAAAGAACAAACTAGAACAGAACAGTACGCAGAAAAATCGAATTGCACATATTAATATATAGATGTAAATAAAGATATAAATATAAATGTATTGCACGGGTCACTGGCATATATGTTAACATATACAAGCTGTAAAAATAGTAACAAGAGGACCTTTACAATTGCAGCATGTTTTATGATTTTCAGTTCAGAAAGTATTCTTCTGTATTGCAGAAATGTTAAAGGAAACTGGTTTTGCAATTACTCCAACCAGATGAGAACTTTTCTGGTCACAGAAATACAGTTGGTATGATATTGAAACGGTATGAAATGCTTTAACATATCTTTTCACAATATTTCTCTTTTCTTTGTAGATTAACAAAGGCCCTATTAGATGCATAAGTGCCTATATGGTTGATACATGTCTGTCAGAGGCTGTTTAATGGACCATCAAATGCAGATGAACTCCTCACATAGCAATTTTTTGTGAAGGGAAAGAAATCTCTCTAAATGCAGCTTGGCCAGCATTAGAGGTTTATAAACATTCTCTCAGTTCAAATTTCAACTGATCAGCCCTTTTTTAGAAATACTAACCATCTCTAGTTAACTCATCAAGAATGCGGAATAAACAAAGAGAACAAGAATTAATGTAGAATGTGTTCTGCAAACAAGCATTTTTTTAAACTAAAGCAAGACAATTTTGATATTATAACTGAATTAAAGGTCAGGTTTTTAAATATATAAATTTTAACACCTTAATACATTTGGAAAAAACTTGTGTGTTTTAGACTATTTCTTTGGGCCTCATATGAGTTTTTTGTGCTGTGTATTGCCTGGAGGAGTTTATCTTGTCTGTTAGGTATCGAAATCGGCTTACAAACTTCTGCTTGAATTTACTGAAATAAGAAAAGCAGAAGTTTAAAATAAACTCCATGACATTACAATTTTAGATGTGGGCATCAAAAGTTATGACATTATTCTTTGTTTTGGTGCTCTGTTGGTATCACAAATATATATTAACCACCATAAGCAGGAACTGTATCTGACTACACCACCTTAGAATTTTAAGGTGCTAGGACCCCTGCACTTGCCCCTGCAAAAAGTTTGTGTTTCCCATAGCCTTCAAGACAAGACAGTTATACTACACAATGCACTTTTTATTCCTCTAAAAAATTATAATAGGTTATCACTGTCTAGAAAGAACAAGAAAAAAAAGTACAGTAGGGAAACATACTCAACAGATTGACAGCAAGGTCCTCAGTACCCAAGACAACAGTCCAAAAAGAGTCCAACAGCACCACTCTCCCAAATCAGCTCTGTCTGATATCCTGGTCTGATAACCTGATGTCAGCTCTGTCTGATCTCCTTCCACTACACAGAAGAATGTGATGAAACTCTGTATAGTCTGTATGCATTGCATGTAGCATTCTGTTCAGCACTGACATTCCTAAACAAAATGTCATATTAGGAACAGGTAAAGGTTTATTCCATCCTGAAAAGAGAAGAAAGTTAACACGTTTTCGCTGTGGATCCTTTTTTGCAGCCTATGCATGCTGACGCAGCTACCCACTTGAAATGTAATATTATACAGGGTTGGTGGAAGAAGACAATGCCTAAGCAGTCCTCAGCTGCACTCTGCTCGAGTCCCCTGTGTGTCTGAGTTCTCTCCTGTGTTAATCACTCTCTTTTCCTCTTTTGTTCTGTCTTCCTCTCAATCCCCGTTCCAGAACTGGTTCAGCCCGTTCAGCACCCCCAATTGATTCGCTTCTAGGTAAACAGTGTGTCATTCCATCTTTGATTTTCATCTGACATACTGTTTGTGCTGGAAATGCTTGCAGACCTTGATTTAAAGAGGATTAAAAGAGGAAAGAAGATATACAAAAAATACAAAACTCAGACAGAAACACTGGTCATGTTAGAAGCAGTTAGAATGGATAACCGGTTATCACTTAGGACATTCCTCTGTAGCCTACATAACTGTAGTCTGGTATGATCAAAGACATGCATTACAGGTACGTTGACAATTTCTAGACAACATGACTGACCTGAGCAACTACTGAATGTTCACAGCTCACAGAGGTGCTTGGGATGGCTGAATCCATTTGGCCTGGGTAACTTAGTATCATTTCTGATATGCAGTATCAATAAGTGAATGAGTCCATGGCTGCATTCCTCAGGCTCTGAAGATTTTCTGTTTACTTACATTTTTACAGCCTTTCACCTAGTGGGAATTATTAAATTGATCCACTTAAAATTTAAGTGGATCAGATTATCCTTTCTCTGCAGCCTTGTTGATTATTTAAAAGAGGAAGTCCCACAGGTCTACTTTCACCAAGGTCCAGGGTTGTGTTCATTGGCATGGGTCCCCACTGACACCAGAACCTGTCAGGATCTGAGCTAGTAAATTCTGGAAAATGTTAAATTCTGGAACTAGACATTTATGTTTACAAGACGTTACATACAAGCCCCCCCGTGTCATCATTACAATCACAAAAATAACGCAATAGTGTGAGTGCTGTTACACTACAGTGGTAATACATTGGTTATGTTGTAGTACGGTTACATTAGTATTATGTTAAAACCTTACAACGGCATATGTGCCCAAACCCGTTTTATAGTTCGAAAACCTCCCTTTTCTTTGAAATTACGCCGCTAAAAGATCAACTGATAAAATTAAGCTGTTAAATAAAATGTTATGAATATAAAGAACTCAAAACATGGAAGAGGACAGTTTACTTTACGTATGCATAAATAAATACAGCCAATCCATGCAATTTATTTAGAAGATCCAGGTGGACGTGCTCACATGACATCATGTCACATGACAGCAGTCCTGTCACATGACAGCAGTCCGACGTCTTACCTCGCATAACTAGGACACAGGTTTTTTCCATTTGCAGCTTTTTCGGTTTTAATTAGTTTGTGATTCTTTTTCTAAACGATTTGCACATTTTTTTTCAACTGGGATCTGTCTGTGCATACGAGTAGAGCTGTCGCATCAAACACTTCCTGCTTCCTGCAGAGACTCCGCAGCGCTGCTGTCAGAAGGGCCAACGGTGTGACCGGAGGATTTGAGTCATAAGTTTCACTTGAGTTTAAGACGTCGAGAGGCAGTTGTCGCTGTTGCAATAGAAGGGATATTTTAAAAAGGAGAATCTAAAACACGGCAGCTGCTGAGAGAAATTTGGGGTTCATAATAGTGTCTTCGACGGGTCTGGAAACTGAGCTCAGTCTCTGTACAGAACGGGAGAAGGAGAAGGAGAGAAAGGAGATGAAGGCAGCGATGCTGGGGATCTGTATGTTGTTGGTGTCAGTTTTGGACGCCTCTCCACTGCGTAAGGCGCACAATTCACCCGTGTCTATGGGAGAGTACGTCATCGATTCCGGAAAGGCGCTGTCTCAACTGAAGGCTTGGTTCGGGTGGAGAAATCTCACTTGCCCTATCTGTAGAGTCGTGTTCACCGCAGTCGATGTTGCTCTTCTGGTGAGAGACGTTTTATTAAAAGTACTGTAATCTTTATTGTCAGTTTTGACAACAAACAACCTACGATTCTGTCACTAATCACTAACATTCAATACGTAAACGAATTTATTGGTAACTGCCATCCATTTTAATTACATAAAACGTGAAAACCACACGTACTGTACGTGCTACAGTACTTGATTATTAACTTGAAAAGATCTTGCAGATTTGTATCTGTATCATCATAGTGAAAGAAAAATATTAGCGCTTTGGGGAGGTTTACAGTTTTAATAAGCACTAATATAGCCCAAAACATTACTTGTCTTGAAATGTAATAAAGAAAAATAGTCGCTATCTGTAAAAATATTAATGAATAGAACTCATTACATTGAGTATTTATGAATATTCAAAAGTAGTTTGGAAAATAACGCCAAAGTAGAAGTTTTACCGTCCGATTGATGTCAAGGCTTTTGTTTCCTTCTCTTTTCAGCGTGGAATAAACCTTTACTTGTTCCTTTGCAGCCTGCCCATGCTGACGCAGCTACCTACTTGACTTATTATACATGTCTGAAAGGAGACATGAGAATTTAGAGGAACATTTTAACTATTCTCATATTGTACTTGTTCAAGGAACAAGTAATAATAATAATAATTGCTTACACTTATATAGCGCTTTTCTGGACACTCCACTCAAAGCGCTTTAGAGGTAATGGGGACTCCCTTCCACCACCACCAATGTGCAGCATCCACCTGGAAGTAGACTAGGGTATCTCCAGCTCTGGTCCCTGCCCTTTGACCAGCTAGTTTTACAGGTAGCCTTTAAGCCATTTGTAAAAATGTTGGACAGTTTAACTATGTTCACAGTTAAACAGTTGATTTTTTTAGAGTGATTAAATGATAAGTTGAAGCCAAATTCTGAAGACCATTCATCACTCAAGGTTCAGAATTTCCATAATTAAATTATTTACTTGATGGACCTTGGTTTTCAAGGTGTCCTATAAAATGAAGGAATTGGATTGGGGCTTTCCAGGACCAGAATTGCAGTTCTCTGAAGAAATGGATGGTTCCAAGCTGAAAAGTAAAAATAAATATTTTGGCTTTGAAGCCTTCAGATCAGGAGTAACACATTGACACAAATTTCTGTTAAATCTTGAATTAATTCTTGTTCATTTTTGCAGATACCTTCATAAATGCCAGCATTAAGAACTTAAATCTTATGAATTAACTGTGTAAACTGCAGTTCACACGCACATTTGTCTTCCTACATTTGTGGGGCCTTTTCATTGACGTTTTTTTATTTTTCTTAATTGTTCCATACTCCATCTAAACCTAACTCCACATAAAGTGAAAATAAAGAAGAAACTAATATTTTTGACAGAGTGACTCTTTGAGGAGTTATTTTACCTTTTTGTCAAAAAGACTTAAGGCTGACTAGAAAAAAAATATGACTACTGTCTTAATGAAGAGGAGACTGGTGAGAGACTTTGAGAAGAAACTACTCTTCTTACTCCAATAAAAGATGTCCTAAAGAGAAAAATAGTACAAAGGAGGGTAGTCATTAAGTTTTCATGAAAGTTTCAGTTTTCCTTTAATTTTCATTAAAATCTTGAAATCTCTCTCTTGAAGGTAAATTTTAAAAGCACTGATGACATTTTTTGTATTTTTACAGAATATTTTATGAATCCAACCTGATCAAATTGTCCAATTTGGGTGCTATCAATTAGCTTATTTTTTTACAGAGTAAACTATGTTTCTTAACATAATGTTATAGGAATGATTATCATAGCTCCCTCTATGAGAGCAATCTGAGGTGGTGGCGGCGACATTGTGATTGAAAATGAAATGACCCTTACCATAAAGCATAGTGGCATGAAGATTAGCATTACTACCTCCTAGCTCCAGGTCCAGTCTTTGATTCCATCTTATGAAGACTGTCTGTGAGGAGTTTGCATGTTCCCTACTCCTTGTGTAGGTTTTTGCTGGGTGTTGCATTATATACTCACATCTTCCAAAGAGAGATACAGTGCCTATAGAAAGTCTACACCCCCCTTGGACTTTTTCACATTTTATTATACTTCAGCATGAAACTTAGATTTCACTTAGATGTTTTGCCACTCATCAACACAAAGTACTCTGTAATGTCAAAGTAAAAAAAATCCAGACATTTTACTAAATTAAAAATAAAAAACAGAAAATAACTGAATGCATAAGTATTCACCCCCTTGCTTTGACAAACCTAAATTACCTAAAGAGAAGTAACCAACTCCAAGTCACATAATTACTTGACTGGAGTCCACCTGTTTGCAGTTGAGGTGTTTCACATGATTTCAGAATAAATACACCTGTGTCTGGGAGCTTCCCCACTTAGTAAAACATAAAGATAGAAGGAAAAATGCGTGAAGCTAATTACAGAAAATCCTGGAGGAAAACATCTTCCAACAGGACAGGGACCCAAAAACATAAAGCAAACGCCACACTGGAGGGGCTTAAAACCAAAAAGGTCAATGTCCTGGAGTGGCCCAGTCAAAGCCCAGACCTCAATCCAATTGAGCATCTGTGGAATGACTTAAAAATTGCCGTTTACAAACAGTCCCCATCCAACTTGATGGAGCTTGAGCAATTTTGCCAAGAAGAATGGGCAGAATGTACAACTCTGATAGAGACTTACCCAAAGAGACTCAGCTGTAATTGCTGCCAAAGGTGGTCTTATCAAGTATTAACTCTGGGAGCGGGGGTTGAATACTTATGCATTTAATTATTTTTGTTTTTTTTATTTTTAATTAGTGAAATGTCTGGATTTTTTTTTTTTCACTTTGACATTATAGAATACTTTGTGGGTCCATGCTGTAGGTGGGTGTAGATTTTATATAGGCACTGTAGGATAAATTTGATTAATTACTCTAAATAGTGAAATCAGTGGGGGCTTTAAAGAAATGTCATACTGGTAATTGTTCCCAGTGCAACCAGTATTGACTGTAGAACTGTACAGAAAGAGGACCCTATTGGCTGAATGACCTCCTCTCATCTGTCCTAGCTGATGTTCTTGTAGCCGGTATATGCAAAGATCTTGTTTTGAGTAATAAACATTTGCCCTTTTCACAATGAGAAGTTGTGGGCATTGGCAGGAACTGGTTGTGATGTAATATTTAGTAGTATAAGAAATGGTTCTCCACTGTATAAACATTATTTCTATTTTTGGATGTAGTTTCTTACATTGTGGAAGTTTTTTTTGTGGTACTATATTTGTGATTATTACCTTAAGGGATCTCACATACTGTTAACTGTTCAAGCAAAATAATATTCAAAAGTTTTTTATAAGAAAAGACTACAGATCTGAATGAAAGACCACTTTCACTCATAATTGGTTACGATCACTTTTACTGGTTCCTAACACTGTTGTTCAAGTGACCTGACTGGTTGTGAACAGTACACATCACGGCCAGTTTTCCTTTAATTTTCCTACCTAGGAAAAAGTGATGGACATTAAGATACAGGGTCACGGTTCCTTAGTTTGTAAGGAAATCCCAGATTTCAGCAGAAACAGCAAAACAGAAAGTAAGGAGACACAAATTCAATAGGAAATATTAAATGGAAGGAAGAACTTTTAGTTCTTACCCTTAGGTACAGTCATCTGGATATAAAGATTTCATTGTCTATCAATGAATAGCCCACACTACACAAAAACACAACACCAGTACTTTAAATCAATGAATTTGGAATTTGAATTCAGTACATAGACAACTAATAAAGATTCACCATTTGGACAGTATTTTTTCAGTATTTTTTTCTTTATGTGTTTTGTTTACAAGAGACTGCTGTAATTTTTTGCAAGGGAGTGTATCTAGTTATTTTGGTCAATTAAACTGACACAATTAATAATCCTATTTTTGTTTTTGCTAGAAGTGCTCTTAGTGGCATGATTTGAATAACTTTAGTCAGTTGTCTATATTAATGCTATCTCCATGTCTTCAGTTACTGAGAATTAAAAGTTACCCATAAAGCCAGGTGGACAGAAGCCCTTCAGGACTGGCACAATGAGAATGAAAAATGAGAGAAAGAGATTTCTATGCTACTGGGTTGAGAGCATTGAGAGACAAGAGGGGGTGTCCCTTGCACAGAGGAAAGCATGGTCACCTGTTAACCTTATTTTCCTTCTGTGCAGAGTGAGAAGATTGAAGACAGAGTGGCAGCCTTGGCAGCCAGAGTGTGCAAGGAACTGCACCTTGCAGATGAGAGGGTCTGCACTCAGATTACCGAGCTCTTCAAAGTAGATGTCATCTACGTGCTGCGGGAATCCCTTCTCCGGCCAGCTGAGGTGTGTGCTCTGGTGGTGGGCAGGGACTGCGGGCATTATGACATCTATGCTGAGTGGAACATCACCTTGCCAGCTGTGCCCAAGCCTCCAGTGGTGCCCCCCTCTCCTCCTAAACCAGGTTCAGCTCAAAGCAGAGTCCTCTTCCTCACTGATGTGCACTGGGACCACGACTATACTGAGGGCACCACCGCTGAGTGCAAGGAGCCTCTGTGCTGCCGGAATGAGTCCGGTGTTCCTCATTGGCATCACAGCGGCGCTGGCCTCTGGGGCACCTACAGCAATTGTGACCTGCCCCTGCGCACTGTGGAGAACCTCCTTCAGCACCTTGCTGCCACTGGCCCTTGGGACTGGGTTTACTGGACTGGAGACATCCCTGCTCACAATATCTGGGCCCAGACCCGCAGCCAGCAGCTCATGGAGCTCAGCAGCATTAGCCAGCTGATCCACAAGTATCTGGGCAGCGTGCCCGTTTATCCTGCAGTGGGCAACCATGAAAGCACACCTGTCAACCTCTTTCCCCCTCCCTTTGTCCATGGCAACCGGTCCTCAGCGTGGCTCTATGACAGGATGGCAGATGAGTGGAACATCTGGTTACCCGCAGCAGCTTTGGAGACACTCAGGTGAGACTACAGTTCTTGGTGTACTTGTGGGATGGATGGACAGTGTGTCAGCATTGTTCTTAGTACTCTGATAACTTCAATATCAGAAGAAAAATTACAGTAGCTGAAATAACTAGTTTGCTTAAAATATAGCTTTTAAGCTGCATGTCCCTGCCATTGTTTTAACATATTATATTGTAATAAAACTATAAAGATTCATGAACACCTAACTGTAAAATTGTTTCTGCAGACTGGGGGGGTTTTACACTGTGGAAATACAGCCTGGCCTGCGCTTGGTGTCCCTCAACATGAACTTCTGTGCTAAGGAGAACGTTTGGCTAATCATCAACTCCACTGATCCTGCTGGGCAGCTGCAGTGGCTTATCAACGTCCTGCAGGATTCTGAGAACAAGGGCGAGAAGGTGACCTTTTCAGTGTCTGCTTCACAGAGCTAAGACATTTAATGTCATTCTTTAAATTCACTGTGCAGAATTCTAACTTTCTGAAGGCAGGAGGCTTAAGTTGCTTATCTTTAAAGGTCTGCCATGGGATCCTGCTTAGAATGCATTCATTATAATTAGTTATCTTCCACTTTTACAATAAAATAAGCATCAATATGGGCTGTTTTTTCCTTTTTAGGATGCAATTTAGAAATGATATATTGCTATTTGTGCTAGAAAAAATGAAAGTTGAGTGAAATATTTAACATTTAAATAAGCAATAGTGGTGTCCTGAAATAAATACTGTTACAAATGGGGGGTTACGAAACTGGTGAAAATCAGGAATTGACCGAGTAGTTTAGTCAATAAGTGAAATAATTATTCATAACCCCCAACTTGTATGTGATTTCTAACTGTATACCCGAATGGCTGGTATAACAAGAGGCACGTGAATTTTTATTCAATTTTTTTCAGTTCTATTCAAGTTGCTTTATTGGCATGACTGATGAGAACAATCAGTGTTGCCAAAGCAAAACAAATACAATTAACATAAAACAAAACAAAAAAAATCACAGACATCTACAATAAAAACACATAATTAAATATTTACATATAGACAGATGGAGCATTATGGGGAGACAGACTCACTGTTTCTCAGGCTGTGACAGGAGAACACATACTGGGCTGCCAGTTCAACTGAGTTCCCTCCTCCCTCTCCCAGGATTGGACCTGTTGTGATTCTGGCAGGTGTGGGAATTCTGGGATTGGCTGTGTAAATTTGGGGAAGAATGTTTCCCAGAATGTTTGTCGCAGTGCAGTAAGAAGTGCACCTCTGTCTCTATTTCTCTCCACTGGCAGTGGGAGCACAGCCTGTCCTCTCTGGGCAGCCAAGTCTGTCTATGTCGCCCAGTTTCTATGGCCAGGCTGTGGTCACTGAGCCTGTAGTTCTTCATTGTCTGTTTCTGTATTCTGTTATTTAGCTTGGTTAGATATTCTCTGGTACAGCTTGAGAGGAGTAATAATCAAGGCAAACTACACAAGACACAAAACACAAAGTTACGTTATATAACAGTATTTACAGGCGTTTCAGAAGCCTAAAATTCTGGTCACACAGAAAAACCCAGACTGCTACTAAGCATTAAACTCTTAATGTACCCATATCCCTACCCATAAAATGCACCCTAATCAGAAAAGACATTTCTAACTGAGGTATCTTTTACCCAGGAAACCCAAGTTCCCAAAAAATACAGAAAATCACACTCTCCAATGAGGTTTGAATACTTCACTCCAGTCAGATTTGATTTGGATGATCAAGAAGTAGTGGTTCTCGACTGGTGCAAGCATCAAGTCCCAAGTTCCACCTCCTCTGGCCTCACCTCTCTCTCTTCTCCCTGCTCTCCTTGTTTCTTCCTTCTTCACTCCCCTCTTTTTCTCTCCTTTCCTGTGCTCGTAAGGTGAACTCATACTGTGTCTTTCTGCCTTGCTCCTTTGCAATTATTCATCCACAACTTGCCTCAGCATACTAAGATAAACTTTACTATTGTTTCTACTCAAGGGACCCCCCAGACCTCAGCAAACATCCTCTCTGCTTTGAGGTTAGAATTGTTTACTCTTCCCAGTGTCACAAACTGTATCTAAAATCTAAGAGGCACTTCCCAGTCACCCAAAGCTGTAATAATACATTCTACACCACACAGAGGACTTCTTAATTCTCTCCTAATCAAATTGGGTTTATCATTGATAAATAATGAAGGAATAATAAGGCCTCATAGGGCCCCTCAGTCTGTGCTTAGCCTCCTGACTCTGTGTCAAGATGGCACAGTGAAGTCCTGCTTTTCCCTGGGTCCTGTATTATAGGAAGCAAGACTGTTGGACAGTGCACCACTGTTGTGTGAGTAGTGAACTGAATCATTGTCATTCTGAATGTAATTAGGACTCTGGATTCTCATACTCTACTGATCACAGGTGTGTTGCTTGTTAGGGTGGGATAACAGTCTGCATTCTCTACTGCAGTCACATTTACTGACAGGCATTTCAATTGCCACTAAAATTGCTCTTAATTCTTGTACCTTACAGTATATTGTGATACTGTAGCTGTGGCACAATTGTATTCTTTACAGGTAATTATGACTGTCCTTTTTTTTGTCAGGTACACATCATTGGGCATATTCCCCCTGGCTTGTGTTTGAAGAGCTGGAGCTGGAATTACTACCATATTGTTAACAGGTGTGTCTTTATAAGTATGTATCGTACAAAATCCATAAGATTAAAAAGCAATGGCTGTGGTAAAATAACATATCTAGAATACAGTAGGAGATCTCTTTAGATTGAAATAGGCTATACTGTTTTATGAATGTCATTACATAATCTCTTAAAATCCTATTAAATGGCACTGATTGCTCCTTAGTTTTTATGTTAAGTGAGCAGGTATAATATGATATAGTGGCTATCAAATGTATTCACCCTCCTTGGACTTTTGTACACTTCATACAACATAATTACTGGGGCTTTTTGCTATTGGTTGACAGACAACACTTATGTCAAAGTGGGAAAAAAAAAATCTACAGATCCTCTACAATTAATTACAAATATAAAACAGAAAGTAACTGATTGCATAAGTATTCACCCCCATAATGATATTTGGTAGTGGCATGTTTGGCAGAAATTACAGCCATGAGTCTTTTTGAATAAGTTTTTATCACCATTGCACATTTGGACACTGTAATTTGTGCTCATTCATGTTTGCAAAATTGCTCAAACCCTCTCAGGTTGGATGGAAACTGTTGGCGAATGCAATTTTCAACTTCTCCCACAAATTCTTGATTGGACTGAAGTCTGGGCCTTGATTGGGCTACTTTTTTCTTTTGAAATCACTTCCACTAGTGGACATTTTGTCTTGATCAATGGCAAGAAATCATTGTTATTCTATATTTTAACACAGTGAAATGTGGAGAAGTCCAAGATGGGTGAATACTTTCGATAGCCACTGTTTTCTGCTGTAGAATACCAAGCACAAAAATGAGCAGATATGAACACCACAGCATATCCTGAAGTGTATGCAGGATCTAACAATAAAAAAACTGTCATTTATACCATTGGAAGACATGTTTTTGGTAAAAACTGTTTTTTGGGTGCTCATTTGTCTATGGATGGTTTATGTGTTCTAAGTAATGCTTATAAACAGTATTGGATTTCCTATTGCTTAATCTGGTGTCAGCTCTAGTGGAAACATCTTCCAGTGTTCACCCTTGGTTCAAAGCCTTGGTTAAAGTCTCCATGTTTGGCCTGAACCAGTTAAAGTAGTTTGTGTTTGTGTTTTTAGATATGAGAGCACTATTGCGGGACAGTTTTTTGGACACACACACTTGGATGAGTTCCAGATGTTCTATGACGAGGAGACCCTGACCCGCCCACTAGGTGTAGCTTTTATTGCTCCCAGTGTAACCACCTTTGTCAACCTCAATCCAGGTAACTGGCATAGGTAATCCTGATCCTGCTGCAGGACAGTTTAATTAACATTTGTTGATAGGAATTTGGTGATGTCCTTTCTATACTGTGTTTATCTCCACTTTACTGAAGTCTTGCCAGGATTTTAGTTGAGCTTGAAATTGGAAACTGTTGTGCTTAAATATTACATGTGTTATATGTGAGTGTATCCCAATTTCTTACTGACGTTTCAGAATCCCTGGACTTTCAGATCAGGTTTTATCTAAACAGTAGACAGTTTAAGTATATTTATCTGAACTAATATAGGACTTTTCTCTTCAAAACTTTGGTTTTTCTCTACCAAATAGAAAAGAGAGAATATTATCACATGAATAGTAGGAAAGAGGCAACCAAATATATATGTACTCAAAGCAAATCAGTGAATCCTGTGTTTTCTGCATTGTCCTGAAAAGTGCTTGTGGTAGAGAGCCTTACACTTGAATTGTTTCTCCTTGACAGGTTATCGTGTATACTACATGGATGGTAATTACTCAGGCAGCTCTCGCTTGGTGCTGGACCATGAGACCCACATTCTGAATCTAACAGAAGCCAACAACCATACCATTGGCCCCAGCTGGACTTTGCTGTACAGGGCTCGAGATATGTACAAGCTTCAGACCATTTTCCCTGCTGATTGGGATGGACTCATTAAAACGTTCCTCCAGGATGACCATATTTTCCAAAAGTTCTGGTATTTGAACCACAAGGGCCATGTGTCTGAGCCCTGCAAAGATGTCTGCAAGACTGCTGCTCTCTGCTTCCTGCGCACTGGGCGGTATGAAGACTCCAAACTGTGTGATGGTCTTGGCACAGGTGTGTCCTATACGGACATTACAAAGGTCATTAGAAAAAGAGCACTGTGCTAGCCACATTGGTCCCTTCAGAATGAGTGGCAATTCACAGCCTTACAGAACTTATCACTGCACCTGCCACATTTTTGCTGCCAATTCTTTGTATTGATCCTCTAAAATGGCATGTATTTTTATGGAAATCTGGTCGTCTTCTATTAGCTATATTAAGTAAATATTCTGTATGAAGACTGAATTAATTGGAGACTGCTAAATGGCTCCTACTATACCTTGATTCCACACTTGATTGAACTGTTACCAAGAAGTTGTCTTTAACTTTCAATCTCAGGCTGTTATTAGGGTTAGCTTGGTTTTGAATGTAGGGGGATTTATGGTTGCCATGCACTAAGCCTCATGTGCCTTTTTCTTCAGAGAGCAGTACAGTATTATATTATCTAGTAAATCCTTTAATACATGGCCAAGCGTGAATGGAATTATTGAACTCCTGAATGATACCAGTCTAGTCAGGATAATCTATTTCCAGGCCCTGCCTGCCATTTGCTGACTCTCAGAGGTACAGATGGGTCAGGTGGCCCAGGCACTTGTTTGGGCATTTGTTTAAGAAGTCATCAGCGTAACTGTCTGAAATCAGTGAAAAGTGTCTGTCTTCCAGATGGTACACAGGACCCTCTGTTTTCAAGTTATTTCTTGTCTGTCTACCTGCCATTGAAGCCTTAGTAAGCAGTCAGTAGGTGCCCCTTTTCCCTGCCTTATGTTATGCTGTCTGTAAATAATGCTGACATGTTTTGTGATTGAATAAATAAGATCTCTCAGTATGTTCAACACTTGCGTAAAAACAATGAAATCCCATTACAGTGAACCAGTAAGCAACATTCTTCTTTTTCAGTGACTTAAAATTGAGGTAGACAAGCAGAAACAAAATTTGGAGTCATTGTGCAAGAGAAACTACTGTATGGAAACAGTATCCCAGAGAGCATAAGGATGTCCTGCAGTTGTCTTGTGTGGATAAGTTGCAATTCCAAACAGTGTATTACTGAAGTACTTTTTCAAAAAAGCTTAGTGTACTTAGAAAACGGATCGCTGATCATGAAATCCTGCTGATTGAAACATCATTAAGGTCTCTTAAAATTTGGAAAAATATATTTCTTTCTTGCTTTGAGAGCATGATTAATTTGATCTGTATAAACAAGATAACAGTACAATTTTACAAGGACCTGGTTTTCATTCCAGTTGAGCTTATAACTATTTTCTACACTCAGGACAAGTCTCACAAATCTCTTTTATGCGAGTCATTTCCAATAAACACCTCTTATTGTTTATCCATTTATACTGTGCTGAAAAGGGTGGGATTGACACTGTCAAACTCTTACGATCAGTGTCTTCAGTGCTGCATAGGCCCAAGTCATTAAAATCATAAACAATAATTGAAAAATAAAAAGAGGGGGAGTTAAAGCCCAGTACAGGTTTTGTGCCAATTCTTAACCTCATTCTACTGTTCAAGAACTGAAGTGTTTTTAAAGCCACACGATGTATGCGTGTGCCCTGTGATAGACATGTCCACGGTGTATCAAGTTTTTTACCCAATTGTTCCCAGGATAGGTTCAGGCCACCATGACCCTGAATTGGATAGGCATTTATTAAAAGTGATGTTGATTAATTTTCAAAATGTATCAGTGTTTTGGCTTTAATTTCCCCATTAATACTGATATGGCTAACTCATAGAATGTTTTGATGGAATTATGAAAAAGTATACATTTATGAAAAAAATACATTTGAATAGTGGTTGATTTCCTACTTCTTAACACCAACTCTGAACTCCACCAAATATGCAACTTATACTTGAATTATTGTATTCATACTTATATTGGGTCCTGGTTTGGATTCAGAACTGTGGTGCTTTCTGTGTTCTGAGTGTGCACACGTTTTCTCCCATCTTGTAAAGAAATGTTCGTCAGGTTAATCAGTATCTCCAAACTGTCCCTGTATATTTGTGTTTGCTCTGTGATTCATTGGTGTGCGTCCAGGACTGGTTCTAGGTTATGGCAATGTTTTCCAGTCTTGAGTAGAATAACTCTATGTGCTATTTTAACAATTTGCTGGCTTTCTACATTCCAAAATATGGAGCAGAAGGAAAAAAAAACGAATGTAAAAATATTACCCCTAAATGACTGCCCTGTTATCTAAAAAATCTCAAATCAAATAACAAATGTAATTTATTGTTGACCTCTTAAAAAGTAATCCCTCTGGCTATAAAACAATGTTCACAATATGCATGTAGGGCTCGTAGTGATTTAGATAATGTATTTGGAACTCCTTAAAGTGCTATGTTACCATCACTGGGGCCCCAGAAGTACTAGATGGGTTTAGTGGCCATGACAGGAAACCAAAACTTTTGACAGGCATTAAGAAAAAAAAATAATGTGATAACAGTATTTTGTTCTCATTTAGTGGCCTCCTTCAAGTTCTGTCTCTGACTTTCTTAGCACCACTAACATTGCATTTCTCTGTTCTATATTTTCAGTTGTAATGCTTGCTTTTTCCTCCTAAACAAACTACTCCTGTTATAGGTCAGTTAATTCCAAAAGTATTTTTTTTTCTAATATGATACACACCAATTACACTATGGAAAAATACATTATACAATAATGCATCCTGTACCACAAACTGCTCCTAAGCAGGTTGCATATCCTGAGACATGCCAATTAATTCCAAACTTAGTTCTTCAATCAAGTAACAATTCAGTTAACACATGGCAAAACAACTGCAAAACAACTGCTCCTTGCATGATGCAGTGACGCTTAATTAACCCATAATAAGTCTTAGAACATATACTGAACCACCGACTGCTCTTCTTCAAATTGTTGCCAATGAGCATCAGACATGGTAGGCATCATAATATTTACTCCTTATTTCACTAGTGCTTCCCTAATACTGTTAAAGTGTGTAGGGACTTGCTAGAACCTTTCAATGCTGAGTGCAGTTTTAGGACTCATGTCTTTGCAGTATATTCTGCTTAGCACAATTTCCTGGTGACAGCTGTATACATTTGTGTCTTTTGGTTTCTTTGATACAGTTGCTCTTCCTGTTGGTAGAGTTCCAGAGTGACTACAATGCACATGAGCTAAAAGACAGAGCTAGTCATGATAGACAAATGTTTTTTTTTAATTGAACTGCAGTTTTTAAAGATATTTTATTTTGAGGCTTCAGATTTTCAACCAGGCTACCAGTTTCTAAAGCCCTTCTATCACTAGACTGTATGTACTGTATGTCTATAATGCATTCTGTTATTAATCTATGTTGGTGAATAAGAATTTTGGAATTCAACAAGGATGATCACATTAAAAAAATGCTATTACCTGTTATCCAGATATCAAAATTTGGGGACTTAATTACATCCTTTGAGTATTTTACCAGTCAGCAAGAATAATAAATGAAAGAGGTTATGTTTCATTAAAACCTCTGAGATTAAATAATTACTTAAATTCACACCCTTAAAGAAAATACCTTTTAACACAAATACAGTTTCTGCATTAAAGGCATGGCCTTTTATGTCTTGTTTCAACCATAATTCCCCTCTGTGGAAAGCTCTTTGCACAAAATCCCACTAAGACAGTAGTAATTTTCAGTTCTCAGACAGAAGAATGCTGTATAACAGTAATCTTTTACCATCTAGGCCACCAACCCCAGTCTGGATTGTGCTGATGACATGAATTGCACACTCCATTGAGAGGAGTAATTTTAGCACAGTATAAACATTTAAATTTCAAAGGCAGATAATCTTGGTCTACATTTTTAAATTAAGCTTAATTAAGCCTGTATTTCAAACATTTTACAAACTTTATTTCCCAAACAATTTAAAAAAAAAATAAACTAGCACCAGTATCCTAATTTTGAAGGTGCGTAAGCCTACTGTATTGTTTTTATAAGGATTGTTTCATCTATTAACCTTTACCAAAAATGTTAATGGTTGGTTGTGTATTCTTAATTACTTTTATTGTAATGTTGTTCATTTTTTTGTAAATTTCTGGACCCCAGATGTATTTATACCTGGTGATTCATGTTTGTATAATGTGGTTCTGAAAATTAAAATAGAATTCCTCATTTTCTTGTTGCTTTTGTAAACTTCTCAGTGATGGAATTAATTCATCTACTGATGCTCCTAGACACATCATCAGTGATGTTCGTGGGTTCATCAGCTCTTTCAATATCATACACCCTCCCCCAGGTGACCCAGCTGAGGCTGATAAGACCTCAGCTTGTGTCTAGGTGGCATTAAACTTATCCCCACGAATGTCCTCTTTTTGAGCCAGGGACATCTTAAGGCTCTTTCTGCTGCTTCAGTGAAGATCCACGAATGTACTTGAATGCCTACACAGTAAACGTCTCTTTTAAAATTAATAAAGATGGAGAAGTTGTCTGAGAGTAATGGCAGCCCAATGTGCACTACATTTACAAGGCAAAATTTATGGATGCCTTATAAATCAACAAAGGGTAGTTGTACATTGAAATGATTGTTTCCAATTATTCTAAAGGTTTGGAAAATCCATGTTCAGAGACTCAGAAAATATTCATTTTTACCTTAAACCATGAAGATCTTTGCACCAATAAATAGCAAGCTATCTTGAAGTGTCAATCTCAATCTTAAACAAAAATGCAAATTTCAAGAATTAGGTTTGTTATATCTTCCTCCTACCTAAATGCAAAGCTGAATTCATAGTACAGCCACATTATGGATATCTGAATGCTTTTTATATTACATGGTTTTGTTATATTACACACATTGGATTTGTTCTGCCCCAGTTTATATTTGGTTTTTCAAAGGCATTTCAATATCTTATCATTTTACAGATTGTGTCAATGTAATAGTTTTAGTTCCAAACATACTTTCGAAAAATGTTTCAAAACATTTTATTTCCTTAAAAGTTCTAACAATTTTTAAATTGTTTTACATACCTGTTGACAGCTTTTCCTTAAACTGATTCTGGGCACATTTAAAAAAATAGAGCTGGTTTAAAAACAGTCTAAAGGAATAATTTTCATACAACTGGAAACTGAAAGGCAATACTCAGCTATCGGTATGTTTATTTTTTTTATATTTGCACGCTAATTCGTTAATTTTACTTGATATACTGTTCTGTCAATTATGTCCTCCGTTTATGCTGTCTCTGTGACCAAAGCTTTAGCGTGCACATACGCATACTATATATAGCGTATTCAGGTTCTTTCAGGACAAAGGACTAGTGGAGACGACTGCTTTACTCTTTTGTCGAAACTACCCAAAACCAGATACAAAATCGACACACACATGAGGAGACTGACAGAACACGTACACATCATTAGGGTGGTAATTACTTAACAACAGGCTAAACATTTATAAGGCTACACAGGACACTAAAACTACTATGACACTATTTACATATGCAGAGTCAACAGCTGGTCATCGTGCTGACCCTCAGACTCTCCCCGCCTACAACTCCCAGCCTGCTCCGCGGTACTATGGGCGCCTAGGTGCGCTTCCTCCTCACCACCGGGCGAGGGCGTTACAATACTTTCAAAACATACAAGGAAAATCCTCACTGTTCATGGAAAACCAAACATTTTGTGTATAAGATGTAATATGGAGCTCAGGGAAATATATGACAACTTATAGTTTTATTGACCGTTGCCTACACCGGTGTTTTACATGTGTACCAGATTGGTCAACGCAGGATCGCTCAACGAAACGTTTTTAATATCATCCAGTCGTCATTGCTCTTGTCCCAGGCACTACTTAATTGCAGTTTCCTATAAGAAATCTACCTCCTACTTTTGGGCTCCATTAATAGTAATTATTTATATCTATGGTGTGCTGGAACCCCACCCTCAGGCAGCTATAGGCGCTATCTATCGCCTTCACCTCTATAACGTGACTCGTCCAACGGAATGACGTGGCTACGGTGACGTCTGCAGTGTTTCGCCCGCAAAGTAGTGCAGTTTAATAATACAATTGATTCCTTGGGAGGCGGGTTGTATTTCAAACACTTCAAAGAAAACCGCAAGAGAAAGAAAGTAAATAAAAGGTAAGATTGAAGCGACCTTCTGCTTGGGAACAATGGTGCGCTGATTCGGTGCTGGGTGTTCTTATGTTGACAATGTGGAGAAAAGGATGGGGATAAATTCGGGGTAGGCTGAATACTGATGATAACAGTTATGAGATAGTAGAAAAACACAATACCTGTATGTCCTGCAAGGATCGTGGAAGATTGATTAAGCGGTGCTGAGCTAAGGTTTCTGTCCTGCTTCTCTGCCTGTTAGCTGATTTCTTCCAAATGCGAAATGAGTGCGGGGGGGCTGCGGCGCAAGGCTGGGCTGCTGTGCCCGGGGTGCGTGGCTGGTCTACGCGCGGCAGCTGCAGGAGAGGCCGGCTTGGCTCACGGGCACGGGCATGGGACTATTTACCGAGGCCTCCATGTATTGCCTCTGAGCCCTTGTTTTAGGTACTATCGGCGAATATAACGGATTTTTTCTGCCACGTTTTTCGGTACTGCTAAGGTACCGGTACCGTGGGAATCTTGATCAGTGCGTGTACAAGTAAACCTCTCTTTAGGGCTTCATGAAAATAATCAATGAAGCTGTGATAGAGCATTGTTATTCATCTGTTTTTTTGTAATTCTTCCAAATACCTGATTAAATTATAATCACTGTGTTACTTCTGTTATTTCGTGTAATAATGTTAAGTAAATTATACTTAAGATTGTAATGATACGATGTGTGAAGCGGAAGGCCCTTTAATTAGTCAAGATGCGGCTCCCCATCGCGTTATATGTAGCTACAGTATTTAGTTTTGAACTATACTTAGCGCCACAATACGATGTTCATTCTACAGTACAGCTCTTTTAATTGTATTGAATCTTTATTTACAATTTTGTGTCCATCACCTTTATTAAAAATGTTTATTCTACGAAGGGGTCGTATAGAAATATAAGCAAATTTCTGTTTCCTTGCGAAAGGAAGAGATTCTGGAAAAAAACCCCGAATCATTCTGTTATCCTCAGTGAGCCCTAAAAAATAATTCAGAACATATACTTTGAATGATTTTCTAATTTAGGCAGTCCAATTATAATATTTTTAAAGTCTATTGTAAAACAAAGATTTGTGGGTATTTAAAATCTGCAGACCTAGCTTTGAAAATATGGAACAGTGAGCAGCAATGTTGTGGGGGCAGTCAGGTCTCTGGACTGTAGTGTTGTGGGTTTAAATCCCAGGTGGGCCCTTTTGTTGTGTCCTTGAGTGATTTACTTCAGTCACTTTGCACTAGTAAGTATATATAAGTATAGTAAGTAAGATATATAAATGGGTTGTCATCGTAGATGGGTTTTTTTTCTCAGTTGACCTAATGTGCTAACTATAAGTATAAGATAAATGTAACCCACTGAGTATTATGATAGTCATAAAAGTGGAAACTATGTGGAAGTGCATTTAAAGCTGAGGATAGGTGATTCTTCTTTACCCAAAGAGTGAGTATGTAAGAAGCTTAGGAAACACCACCATGTTTTTCACCATGTTGATGAAACAGATACCCTGGTTTCTTCCTGTAAACTGCTAGATAAGATACTTGGGTGAATTAACTACTGCTTTATTATTATTATTATTATTATATCTAGATTGGCCTAATGGTGGACTCTTCTCGTGTGTAGCTGATGTTATGGTCAGTTCTACAGCACTAGGGGAATACAGATTTCTGCATCAGGATCATCTGTACAGTCTGGTGAAATCTGTAGTAATCTGTAGTATCTGTAGTAATCTGTGCCTTTCATCAATCATTGAAAGATAAATACATCCATTGATTCATCCAATAAAGGGTAACGGGGAAGTTGGAGCCTATCCCAGCAAGCAGCTGGTGCAAGGCAGGACACACCCTGGATGGGAGTTGTCACATGGCACACGCAATCAAAAACAGAGAAACACACACCAGGGGCAATTTTCTAGAAGCCGATTCACCTACCAGTATGTCTTTGGACTATTCCAGGAATCCCATACAGAAAAGGAGAGAACATACAAAAACACCCGTGCTCCAGTGCTGCAAGGCACCAATGCTAACCATTGCTTCACTGTGCTGCCCATTGTCAGTACAGATGTTATTTTTACTCATAGTAACTGACAGTCTGTAAAACTCTGTAAAACAGAGGAAATCTTCATAATCTCTGTAAAATTAACATATAAACCCATCATACAGAGATTACACAGCAACCCTGCAGCATGTAATCTATGACACGATAAGTGCTTTACAGAAGTGGTTTTCAAAGGTCTATGGTCCGCTGACCATTTACACCAAGTCACGGATGTGGTGGACCACCTATACCTACAACCACTCGTTACCCTTTAAAATGAATCACCTATTAATGTACTAAAAATAACTAAAATTGAATTAAATTAGATGAAATGTACTAATATTTTTACAAACAATGCTGCACATTTTGCAAATGTTTTCATTACTTAAAAAGTTAATGTGACGAATGGAGCTGCTTTTGTTGAGCAATCAGAGAAGTGATACCTGGATCCAAGCTGGACAAGTCCGAACGAAGACATCACATCAACACACCTTCTGCTTCCTTGCACATCACATTTATCAAGCTGTTGGAATTATAATTACAGCACTGCTGGTATGGTTCACAAATGACCTCACTCGCATTTTTACTTCTATTTAGCATCTTACTCGCACTTGTGCTGTGACTTTCCTTGCTATATTTGCATTTCAAAGTCCCACATTTGAGCCAGTGCTCCATAATAACCTTTCTGGCTAGTGGAACCCCGATACTTATAATCAACACACAAGTCCCTCCTCCCACTTTTTACAGCTTGCAGTTCTTAACAGTGCTCCTAGGGGGAGCCCCTTCATAGCGAACACTATAATACAATATTCTTTCCTCTGACTTGAACAGCGCAGACTTGCTTTTTAAGAAAGATGATTAGGTCAGCCTGTGGACCACCTGGCACACACTCCCAGACCACTGGTGGTCCACAGACCACACTTTGAGAACCACTGCTTTACAGGATCGTACACAGTATTTTAGACAGTCTTAGACAGTTTTAAAAGAACTAAAATTGTATCCAAACTCCAATATTTACTGAAGATAACCCAAATAACAGACATGAATGCAAAAGTATATAGTGTTTCATTATTTACTAAAGGGAAAGGGCAACACTATTTTTATAATTCAGATTTAGAAACAATTAGCATTGGTGAGTGCATTTCCAACCACAGCAAAAGTAAAATGTACACAGTAACTTGTAAAACCTCCAATTCACAAAATAGATACAGTTTCCAGGTATGCATAGCACCATATTATGCCCAATGGGGCAACAAAACATTTGGTGACATGAAGAGGCCTTATTACATTGTAAAGTAGAAGGCTTGCGAATACATCTCTGCATGCAGATCACGTTGGAACATTTATGAGGTGAAATGTCTTCTGCAGAATCTGTACTTATTTGCTTGTACATCACATTACATTCTTCATAACAGCAAATAATGAGCAGTTAGGGCTGCATTATGTCACAATTTGTGGAAAGTCTTGCTCTCACCCGTGGAGAGACCAGTGGATTGTGACAACACAGCAACTTCCAAAGTATACAAAGTTCACAATTTTGTGCTTAATTCAAAATTAGTAAAATATTTCTAAATGAACAATTAATTTATTTTGTTACTGTTGTAACAGAAAGAATAAGGTTCTGGATCCCGAGATGAAGTTAAACAGATGAGTTTATTGCATGCAAGGAACAATAAAGCCGAAGTCTTGTTTTCCACAAGAAACAACAAAACCGAAGTATTATTCAATGTGCCGGTACAAACTTTAGGTTTATATAGTCCTTCCTTGCTGCTTCGGACGTCATTCTGTGTTATGGTAAAGAGGGGGGTCATGGTATTTGGCCAGTTAAGAGACCCTGGCCAAATGGTTGGTTTAAGATTACGCCCCCAGGGGGTTCCTTGCTCGCATCTGGAATCCTTATCAGTTAACCCCCTTTCCTCCCATAAACCCCTGTTGCTTAGAAGTCTAATCTTCAGGCAGAACTGACTTAAGTTAACCCTTTTCACATCTTGTGTCTTACTTCATTCTCCCCTTATAAAATATGACATACGTCAGGACTGCCTATTTTTTACACATACAATGTCAGGGCAGATCTTTCCTTTTTAGATGTACAGGCATGCATTACCATGACTTTGTGCGTTCCACGGTTACAAAAAGATCTGATTGATGTTTTTGTACAAGTGATAGTTACATTTATACACATAAAGCAATCCTAATCCTACAAATACATAAAGTCCTACCCCAGGACCCAAATGCAGACCTCAGCCATGTGGAGATCTATTGTCAGGATCTTGGAATAGCAATATTGACCCAACTCTGATTATCATTTTTTGGCTGATAGATATGCCAACACCTGGAATGTATTGATACCATATCCCCAGTAACGCTCCTCAGGCCTAACAAGCACACTGTTGGTCCACCTTAGGAAGCATCAGACACAGAAACGGTAACAACATCCTTCTTTCTGTTCACTCATTCTCTGGTGCCGTGGCTCGGTGAAAGTGCGATGCG